AGCAGCAAAACATCAAATGATACCTATGGACCTTGTGGTGTTGCCTTGCAGCCCTGGGAGCAGCTAAATTACTAGTCCTCTCCCTTGCCACAAGCCTCAAACATCCTTCTGATATAATAATAGGAACGAAGACTCAACATCAACTTGATGTCATGTAATCAAGCGATCCAAAGAGCTAACTGCTTTCCTGACTGATTTTCCCCTAAGACTGAAATAAGTTCTTGCTGTTTCTCTTAAAGGTTTTTACCATATTTTTAAAAATTCCTTATCTCTATAGAGCCAGTTTGGTGTAATGATTAAGGCACCAGGCTAGTAGCCTGCCTTAAACACAAAACCAGCTAATTGATTTTAAGGCAGTCACTGTCTCTCAGTCCTAAGATCTTGAGGGATCTTCTTAAAACGTTGCCTTCTGTTCTAAATTGTAATTATAATCTATTGGGTTTGTTCTCATGGATTAGTAATCCACTGATATTACAATACTATAACAAGTATTTCACTGTGGATGAGTAGAGAAATTTTTAATACGAATCTTAACCCAGAGTTTGCGCTTGACATTTATCTTTACGTATGGCAAATCATACAAAAATTATCGCAATTCAGCATGACATTAACCCTTAAAATGACATGACAAGTAGAAGTTAGATTAGGTTGTGACTAGATAGTCCTCTTACTTACATGACTAAATAGAGAAGATAAATCAGCAAGAATCAAATGGAGTAATGCTGATGTGAAAACTGGAACAAATCTGTGTTAATCCAAAGAATGGTTCTTCCATTTTCGATCTCTTCCTCCTCTATAGCCAGGAGAAAAACGATGCTGCTAACATTTGATTTTTCTTTCTACTAATCCTTGTTAGTTCTTAGTATGGACCAGAAATTACAGTTTGCTTCAAGACTGTTTCATAACCTGTGATTTGCAGTTGGTTTGATTAGAAGCAGATCGATTTGTTGGATCAAGATTTCCTGTATTTTTGCATTAACCAGTTTTGTGGAAAATGAAATTAAACACAGGGGAATCTCTCTAAGAGAGCAGGCATGGAGAACATACTAGCCCAATTCAAGTTGCTGCTTGTGCACATAGTTCTAATCTGTGCAGAATTACAGGTAAACCAGAATATTTGAGAATGTGTTTCTTGTTCAAATATGTTAACCTATCCTGCTGTTTCATGTAGGAAATATTTAGTTTTGATCCCAAGCAAAAGTGTTTCTGCTGTTCATACCCTTTTTGATGGTTGTGTGCTTATACTGGCAAATTGCCCTAGTGAAGCCTTTTGGATAAAAGCCATGAGTCAAATCCTGTTCAAACATTATTATGCAAACAAGTCTGAAGGAAAACAGAAGTGAAGCATACTGATTTGTTCCCTTTTTACTTCTTTTTCTATAGCTGTGAAATGCTCAGAAATTACTTTTCTGGGATATCTGTACATTTGCATATTTGAAGTAGTGAATCATCTGAGCACAGCACTGTGTGATGTTTTAAAGAAGCTTGTTTTTAAAGCTGTTTACTACACAGACTGAGCTAAAGTAATCCAACAGGTTGAATGACCTCCACAGTAATACTTCAAAGTATCTTGTAATAATAATCTTGCCTTTTTACTGGCTTACTTTGGATTGATTGTCCAGCCTTTACTACTTGGGACTGAAGTTGCAAAGTCATGATGACGACTGATTCATAAAATTCTAACATGAAAAAGA